GAAACGGGGGTGGCGTGGGCAGCGTCCGGCACAGTCGCTCGCGCAACCTCACGAGCGGGCGGCGTGCGTCACCACCCTGCCACGCGGCAAAGGCCCAGAGAGGTTAAGACAGCAGTGAGAGGACACACAGCCATCGGGCTTCACCTGCCCCAAGTGCTGCCCACACACGTCCGTTTGCTCCCTGCAAGCCCCTCTGCTGGGTGCAGACCAGCCCCAACCGTGAGCGCCGCCCGGCACTGGGATTGGCCTCCACTCTCCGGCCACGAGCCACGCCGTGGGCCCCACCCTCCGCACGCTCACCCCCAGGGCTTCTGCCCGGAAGCCCACCGGTGGGCTGCTCCTGCCTCCCTCGTCACTGCAGTTTCTACAGGCCGGGCTCTGTCCTGCAGTCAGTGCTGGGGTCTGAGGCTTCCCTCAGGTGGCACATGGAGCACCCCGTGGACACGGGGACCAGGGGGTGCTCCCCAAGCCTGATGCCGCCCGCAGCGCTGGGCGTCACCCATGCACTCATTCCGGCCCTTTCTGGTCTCAAGGGTCCAGACACCAAGATCAGGCCTGAGCCCACCTCCGTGCTTTAGGGCCCCTCTCAGGGCTGATGAAAGGCCCCCATGGGGGGGCCCTGAAGTCAGCGCAGCAGTGGTGGGTCCAGGGACAGACCGGCCCCGACACCCATATGCCCTGGCTCCTCAGGGACTGGCCAGGCCAGGGCATCCAAACAGCAGAGCCTCCTGTACCCCAACACTGGCTTCTGTTCACAGGGCAGAGCCCCCAGGTGCCATGGTCTTGCCGGACCCCGCATTTCAGTGCAGGGAGAAGCCCTGTCCTGTCTCTCCGGTGCAGGCTCGGAGGTCATAATCCAGTCCCTCCACTAGAGGGCGCACGTGCACCAGCAATGGCTGCCTGAGCCCAGGGTCAGGGAAACTGAGGCAGACAATGGGGAAAACGAGGCAGGAGGCAGGCAGTGCTCAGAAGGTGGAGACCCCAGGGCCAAAATTCAGGTTGGTAAGAGGGTTCATGCAAGTTCTGATTGGGTGGGTGCCGGGGGAGGAAGGAGGTGCTGAATTTCAACACTGGTGCTCTGGGCTCTGTGCCCAAACGCCCCGCGGACATCTGATCTGGCCTCCAGGGCCCAGGTCACACATGGCCGCACGGCCTGTGCTGACCGCAGAGATGAACCCACCTGCACACACAGCCCCCCCAGCACACACCCGGCTTCCTCTGCCTGCCCCTCTGCCTCAGGACAGGCCAGCCAGAGGCCACGCCCAGGCCAGGTGAGGCCACACCCAGGCCAGGTGAGGCCACACCCAGGCCAGGTGAGCTGGGTGCAGCTCAACCTGCACCCAGCTGTGTCCCCACTTAAAAGGTCACCCACCCCAGGGTGGCCGGGTCCCACTGACCCCCCGGGACCCTGAACCAAACCCCACGATGGACAGTCCAGCTCAATCTCCCACCTTGGTGGAGGGAGGCCCAGGCATGGTTCAGGGGAACCGGTAACACCGTTCTGAGGTTGTGTGGTCTGTGGGGGGACGGGGGGCATAGGGGGTGAGAGGGAAGGCGTGCGGGTGACGACCTCTGTGGCGCCCCACAGGTATCCTCAGAAAGCGCTGGTCCCCAACGGGAGCTGACACTTGGTCCCCAAATGTTTTAAGCCTGAGCTGCCCATGCCCGCCCCTGTGACCCCCACACACAATCACCTCAAGTGGCAGGGTCTTCACCCTCCCACAGCACAACGGCCCCCAAGGTCGGCCCGAGGGCACAAGGGGGCACGAGGCCCCAAGCACCCCAGGCCCAGAGTCATACAGGCGGAGCCGCTCTGGGGTTCTCCCACCGAGCCTCGGGGGCAGCTGCTGTAGGCCAGGGCCTCGACCAGCCCTGGGTGGGGACCCTGGCACCCCGGGAAAGCAGGCAAGACCCCCCCGGGATCAGAACAGCCACACCCTTGTGGTGCCACGAAGGGGTGCTGGGGACATGGGGTTTATGGGGGACACGGGGTCCCCCCCAGCTCCAAGAGCTTCTGGAACCATGTGGGGAACACCACAGGGCAGAGTCCAGTGGAGTGTCCCATGAGGGCTGAGCCCCCGCCCCCCCAGGCCCCAGGAGAGGCGACCACGCCCGGCCCCAGCCCGCCACAGCCATCGTGGCCACGGGGAGCCCTGTCAGCACCCCAGAATGAAGCCTCTGACTGGCCGAGGCAGAGCTGCAGGCTGGGGTACAGCTGCAGTGTTAACTGGCTCCAAAGGGGGCGTGTCCGGCACCTCTGGTGGTTTTCACTGGACTCCCAGGAGACAGCAGGGCCCGGCTGGGGGCTGAGTGGCCGTGGCCAGTGGCCCGGGGGCAGTGGGGACCCAGGGCCAGGCCAGTGGCCACAGGGGCTGTGGGGAAGGAAAGACAGCTGGCCTGACGCCACCGGACACTGGCTGAGGCTGCTCCCAGGTGACCCAGGAGGGCGCGAAGTCCTGCAGCAGCCCAGGCCTCCAGTCTCCGGGAGGGGCTGGCCGGGGCGCTGTGGCAGCCACGAGGAGCGGCTGCCCCCACCGCCACCCGCCAACCCAGCCCAGATGCAGGGGTCTGTCGAAACACCAGGGAGGCTGTTGAGAACGGACGAGCTTGGCCAAATGGTTTTCTCTGGGTGGTTTAAGCAAACAGGCCCACGGCCCCAGCGAAAGTGAACCCGCCCCCCGCTGGCCGGGCTGCGGGTCCAGCGCTGACCAGTGCTGACCAGCGCTGTGGCCGCCTCGCCGGGCTCCCGGCCTCTCCCCTCCCGGTTGGCACACGCACGGGAA